CTACCCAATCGTGATCCACAGACTTAAGAATTTCTTTATAAGAGTCTATAGCATCCTGATGTTGCCCAAGAAGAAGCCTTTATATAATTAAAATTGAATAACTTACAAAGAAAGAGCAACTTGCTTTGAACACCTTACCGACGATTGATTCAATAAAGAACAAGATTGAAAATGATCTAATGATTCTAGTATTTGTCCCTCTTGTTGAGCAACCAAGCCAGAGTAATAGAGTGAGCATTCACTATGCATTCCAAAGTCAACCAAGCACTGATTTATAAGATTTTTGCATATTGAAAAATCTTGCCAGACATAATGTCTATATATCAACCAATTTATGGATTCTATTGAACAAGGCTCTGTAGTAATGAATAGTAAATAATAAGCTAATCTACCTAAGACCACGGGCATTCTAACTAAGAGAAATCATCTGAAACAAGCAGAATTTACACTAACTTTTTGCAAATACAAACAGATTTTTATTTTTGTTTAAGCTTTTATTTATAATTATTAATAATAGGCAAAATAATTTTATTTCATTACTGTTTAATGAAAGTAAGTAGTTTATTTAAAATAAGCTAATTGACATGCCCTACGGGCTTGATCGCACTGAAGCTTCAGACAATGAGGAGACATTGGACCTTGAACTTGAAGGTTTTTCCCCTGATCCTCCCGACAAGGCTGGGATAGGCCAACTCCTCTTTCAACTATTTCCTGATTCCTCAGGTGTTAATATTGATAATTTGTCAGATTATATAATTGCGAATAATACAATTGGTACGGTGGTCAAAAATCATACTGAGGATGGTAGTGCTGAAGAAGATGACGATGATATTGTATTTGCTCTCACTACTGTCGTCGATCTTTCTCCACAACAATGTAAACGCTGGATCGCTGGCAGCCAAATCAAGAATTTCGCTAAGAAGATAATAAATAATTGCTCAAATTCCAATTTTGCTGACAACAAAGTTGAATTAAATGAGATATTATCAGATTCTGGATCGATTCGGCCCTACTTACTAATCAATGAGCGACTTACTCCTCTTCCTCCAAAAGTCTGCTCTAGTTCCCTTACT